CTACACTGCCTGCAAACACAAAGCTTTGAAATGCCATTTGCCCTCCAGAAACATCCTGCACCTTTTCATTCCAAACCAGCACGCTAATTATTTCTTCATTAGCATTGCAATATTCTCTTTGTGCACAGGTTTGATAATACTGAGTATTTCATTACCTGGTCAAGGATGCTTTAGACATCATTTAGAGCAGTGTGGAAGATTTAGTGCGCCTACTGAAGATGCATTAATACATTTTATACCTCCAGTCACACAGTGGACAAAAAGTTTGGGTTGAATTTGAAAAGTCTGAAAAGAGTTGCTGATGTTTTTTTTTTCTAATCAAAATAATCCTTTTTGTCATACTGCCCCAATGATAAGCTGTTCTACTCCTAAAAATCTAGCGTAGCGTTAGTTCTGGCAGGTCACGTTAGTCAAGCTCGCATTAGCTGACTCTCAGCTGATCCCCATCAACCTATAGGAATACGACACCTATCTAAGCATTCATATATAAGGTCCCTCAGTATTATCAGCAGTTTTCACATTGCTCAATAGCTAATTACCCTCCTCCATCCCCAGCTCCTCCTCTGTCAGTCAGGATTCAGCCTTCTGATTCTCCTTTGAATCAGACTAATTCTAAAATGTGTACATAACATTATTGAACTTTAACAATATCTGCAATACATTTATGTTGGTTCTGTTCTGTTTACCCAGGGGGGGTTTATCGCTGCTCTCCCTGCTCTCATCCATGCTAGGCTGCATGGATGCACAGGGAGTTCTTGCCCAGAACAGAACCATACCGCCAATCCAAACTGTATGCTAATTGTCAATCATCTTTGACGATAGTCGTCCTGACAGAAGTACAGTTTTTCCAATTTTTGTTCTGAGAGTGCATAAAAAAAAAGCATTTTAAAATAGGTGATGTGCTGACATGACTAGAGGCATTTCCAGGTTGCTCTTTCTGAAAGATGATGTTTATGTTGAAGTATAAAGACTGTCCTTTATCGGTCTGTCATTTGTTGTGACTTGTATAAGCATACCCACAGGCCATGTGAACCTGTCAGTTATCACAGTTGCGAATGTAAATAAAATAACGTTAATTAAGTAGCACACTGTGTACACAAGTGTGGGTGTTCTAATCTAACTGATGTTCATTTGGGAATGACGTTTGACAAGGTTTAATCCACAGCATGTGCTCACTTATCTCTGAAAAATTTGGATTTAAATGGATTATTAAAAGGCTTAAGGTTAATTTGACGTTTTAAATCAAATCCTGAATATTTTTCCTCGCAGGTAAATTTCGAGAGGAGTTCAAAGCAGCGTTCATCTGTCATTGCTGCGGTACAGATGAGACACACCAGGAGAGAGTCAGAGCGAGAACCAGCACAGATAGCCGCAAATCTCTGTCTACCCAAGTAAACAACTTTGACAACATCTCTAGGATATCTGACCAGGCTGTGTAGCTCCATCATGAGAAGGGGTTGCTGGGTTAATCCTGCGGGCTGCCACTTCACCAGTCACCGCCGCCGGTTAGAAGAACACAGACGGCACGTATGTTTTGACCTGCGAGACTTACAGATGGAAGGATTGAATAGACCTATTAGCTCCTGTGAATTACCCACACTTTTTGAAAATGACACTGTGTCTAGCGTAAGAGCACATGAAGCTTCAGTGGAATTGGAATTTTTAGCCAAGGGGTTATTTTTCTGCTCACCACAACAGGTGATTTACCCCACAATCCCCAGAGATGATGTGCATGAAAATAATGGCATGGCTCTGAAACACATCGTTGATGTGAGGCTGCATTCTTCAACTCAAGATTGAAAGCCAATGGCGATATAGAAGGGAAGCACAAAAAAATAAATCACTTTTAAAGGTGATGTGTTTCGTTTTTGCGGTGTTAAAACACTTTCTCCTATCACATCCTATGTAGAGACAACTATAAGTAAGTAATCTGCGAGTTATCAGAGAAGTGTAAAGACTGCAGCACCACTGAAACATTGTTTGTTTGAGCATCCTAACCAGCTGAACTCAGTGAGACTGGCTCACCAGTCATGTGAATTTTGGATGGTACTCTTTGTTTGACAGATGCATTCAGGAAGCCTGTTTGAAATCAAACAGTATTTTTGGAATTAAGCCCCTAACGGTGCAGACTGCAGAGAACAGGCCGCACTTTACACAATGCATGCATCAACTGCTTCAAGTACTTATGAACAAAATGGATATTGTCTGAATATATATATATATTTATTTTTGTCCCATGTTTAAAGTATGTATAATTTGTAACGTTTCTCTATAAGAATACTTTTGTCATCTTTTCAGGAACAGTTCACTCTAATTTAGTCTCAGTCAGTTACTCAAAAAAAATGATGATTGTTCACTTAGTGTACATTTCTACAGTTAGATGCTTGCAGATAAAAGTCTGTTTTATTTCCAGTATTAGGCATCTGTGTCGTGTGGTGTTTGCATTTATTTCTAATGGAGTTGTTTTGACGTTTTGCACAGTCCAGCAGTAATTATTTGCTTGTTGAGTCAGGAAGCCTGGAGCACTGGCTGTCGTGACTATTATTAGTCAGATGATTACAGAGCCATATAGCCGAACAATGGCACAATAATGCATCTTTGTTCAAGTGTTGTACACCTCACAAGCACAGACAGGTGAACAGCAGGGCATTGAACTACTTAGGATGTTGTTATCTCTCAGGTGCTTGCTTTGAGGACTTGTGTAATTTATTCAAAATGTGTGCTGCTACTTATGACATTTATACATAAATAGACTGAATGTTGATGTGTTTGAAATTATGTTTGTATATATGGATTCCAATTTTCCTTCAAAAATACACTACAAAGCCATTCATCATTTTTGCTAATTGCTTTAGTTTGCAAATATGTAAATTATTTTCATACATGCTGACTTTTAAACAGTGTTTACACAGAAAAAGAAAGTGAATTGCTTTTGTCTATGTAGGTGCGATCCAAATATAAATAAACAATAGCAACACAAGTAATTGTGAATGTTTTGCCAGCACTAAACTAGCACTAATGTGCATAAAATATAATGAACCAGCGTGGAAATATACGATGGTCTGAGCTGTTCTTTTCACGGTTTTCATGCCTTTTCATGCCATTGTTATAAATAATTGAGTGATATAATTCTACTTTGTAACTCGATTTTTTTCACTATATTTTTTCAGAAGCACTTCTTTTAGCTGCCTGCTAACTTCTAAAAAAATAAAATAAAAAAAGCATACAGAGAGCCAATGTCCTGCCATCTGCTCAAAAAGCTATTCTGCAGGAATATATTGCATACAGAATAACCTTTCTTATTTATAAATTGCTTTGAATTAGTGTCCGCTAAATTAATACATGTAAAACAGTGAAAGTAGCTAGTAAAAGACGTTTTACAGAAAGTGCAGTATAAGTTAGTTTATTAAACAAATCTTAGTTAAAGTCTGAAAATGCAAAAAGAAATGTCTGAGGGTTATGTTTAGAATGAAATGAAGCAATATCACAAGAGCAAGAGTGCTGTTGTTCCGAATTTCAACACTGATCTAATCAATTTTGATTCTTATTTCTGATTGTAAACTTCTGACAGAAGAAGCCGAAATATCAGGGAAAATGAAACACTGTAGTGAGTTTCAACATTATCCTGATGTTCATAGCTTTAATATTTGTAGTGCAACTATTGCCCAACACTATTTTAAACTACATACCCAAGTGAAGTGAAAAATAAGTGTAGAAATAGATTTATACATATTTACATATTTATGTACTTAATTAAAATACCCCGCAATAGTACTGTTAGTATACTAAACTGGTATGCTTAAAGTCTGCTAAATTGGAACGACTGATTTTATTATGATTTTGAGAATTTTGTGCTTAATGCACTTTAATTGTGTGGAATAAGGTCTAACTAAAAATATACTGAACTATATTTGATTGTGCTAAAGTGGAACCATTGCAAGGTACACTTTAAATATATTGCATTTAAAGGCTGATATTATTCAAAGATCATACAATCCTCATCAATACAACACTATTTTAAACTACATACCCAAGTCAAGTGAAAAATAAGTGTAGAAATAGATTTATACATATTTACATATTTATGTACTTTATTAAAATACCCCGCAATAGTACGTTTAGTATACTAAACTGGTATGCTTAAAGTCTGCTAAATTGGAACGACTGATTTTATTATGATTTTGAGAATTTTGTGCTTAATGCACTTTAATTGTGTGGAATAAGGTCTAACTAAAAATATACTGAACTATATTTGATTGTGCTAAAGTGGAACCATTGCAAGGTACACTTTAAATATATTGCATTTAAAGGCTGATATTATTCAAAGATCATACAATCCTCATCAATAGTGACATTAAAACACATTTTAGGCTTAATACTAATGTGCATTGTGCACAAGTAGAACTCCAAATAAAGTATAATTATAATTTTCACATCAGTAAGTCTCCAGCGATATGTCACTAAATATGTATTTGAACTGTACTTAGTCTAAATGTATTTTAAATATATTACTTTTTTTACTAGGGCAGCCAACAGTCAGGACTTGCTTGTAACTAAGGTTAGTGATATCTGTTTAATTTTAACTACTACAGTAATAGTTAATGATTTATTTTATATATTATAAAACAATTCAACAGTTCTTTAATATTAGCCTACATCAAAGACACAGCTACATATGGCTGGGATATCAGCTGACCCGAGAACTACATGGTGCAGCAGTGAGCCATGCAGGTGAGTGACATTCACAGCAGAGCGACGCACCTGAGAGGGATCATTCATCAGCACCGTGACGTCACACTGGGGTGAACAGAGCGCGCTGAAGCGGAGCTGTTCACTCGCACAGGTGCTTAACACCGATACTCCACCAACACCGTCACACCACATGAAGGCCATGAGAGCAGCATTTCTCATTGGTAAGTAGAGGATCTATTTTAAGGATTAGTCAGCTTTTAGCAGTTCAACGCTTCATTGATCTTGGAAGTTCTTCTCATGGAGTTAATGAAATTGATTTTTCATTTGTGCCTGAACATTTGCCAAGTGTTTCTATTGCTCTTGGAGTGAAGTGGTCTAAAATAAAGTGAAATCAAATTGATCTGTTCTTATTAAGGCGTAAGTGCAATAACATGTGCAATACAATGTACTTTTGAAAAGAACGGTTTAGAATCTGGGGAATTAAAAAAATAAATTTAGACTATAATGTCAAATTTGTGAGACTGACTGTAATTCCTTTGTACAAAGGCCAGATTCCCTTTCTTCCACCAAAGCTAAAGATGCTCTTTAAAACATTCTCATAATGGTAATGCATGATTTGGATCATGAGGTTTTGTTCTACCTGCTCAAGTGAAACATCACGTACACTACAGGACATTCTAAAATTCAAGTCAGGTTTTCACACAGTTTCTTATGCTTATAAATTGTAATAGGAAAAATTAGAAAATAATATTTTCAAAGAAAGCGTTTTTACAAAACTTTTGGACCCTAGTGTCTTTGAAATGTGTGAGACTATTATGTGCATCCATGCTGAACAGGTAGAATGTAATTTCTCATTGCATTAAACTGATGTCAGGACGAGCCAATTATGAATGTTATTTTCCCTTCCAGCGTCTCATTTGCTGTATCAGCTATTTTACGTTGACACATCAAGAACTACAGACTGCATTGCACACATGGATGCTTGTGTTTCTCCACACTTCTGCAGAAGCGAACAGGCTGTTCTCAGAAATATCCGCAATTTTAAAGGTACAGAGTTCTTATATTTAAACTTCTATGAAGCAAACCAGATGCCATCCATAATGCAACCAATTATTTTTTGTTTAACGGGATTAGGACCGAGGCTGGCTGGTCGCGTTGGGTTAATAACTGCTCTCACAAAAAATGTCAAATTGAATGTTTGCCCTCTTGATCCAGACGAGTTGATTCTGTCAAGGCATTAAAAATTAAAACCTTTCAAGGTGAAGACAACTTTTCAATTTGTCACAAAAGAGTGTGAGTGGGGGCGGTTTGCATACTGGTTTAAAGGTTTCGGGTGCCACGTGGCGTTTAATATAAGAATAATGAATAATTTATAGCAAATTATTTCTATATGCACAGACAAACACACATAAAACAGCCCCACTGTGCATGACTTTTCCCACTTTAAATCCACCATGCTGCCATTTCAGGTGAGTTGGGTTATCTTAATGTTCATTTTGACAAAGATATTTAACAAAGAAAACGCTGTCAGCAATACCTGTCTCCTCTAACTTGTGAATTGTCTCATCACTGTGTTGGCAGTAATTGGATTTAAGTGCAATAGCCTTGAGCAAACTGCACGACTCAAACTGAGGCCATATGTCCATCCAGGGAAGAAGAAAGGTCTTGCTTGAGGGGACATTGAAGTTGTTTGTTGGTAGTGTCTGAATGCAAGAAAGGGAGAGAGAGAGAGAGAGAGAGAGAGAGAGAGAGAGAGAGAGGGAGAAGCACAGTCTGGCCTCAGGGAAGCAAACGAGAAAACAATATATGGGATCATCAGTCCATATTCACATATGATATTGGCTGTCGTGTTGATATATTTTAACATGTGACCATAATAACGTTTTGGAAAACCATAGTGCACTTTAAAACTCAAAGACAATTGTAGACATCTTATGGATCAATTTAAGGACCAATTAAATGATTAAATGCTTTATAAACAATCACACAATAGCCATTAACCTCAGCTATTAAAAATTCATGCACAAATTGAGATGCAGATGAATAGAGTTCACTCGTTAAAAGTTGATGGTACGCTCATTTCAAAGCGGTGACGTTGAAAGTGCCTCTAGTAAAGGCTGCTTTGCTGCTGTCTCTTTTCATCTCTGTGGAAAGATGGAGGCTGCCACATGACTGACGCAAAGGTCTGTAACGCCACTCTTCAGATGATGTTCAGCCGCTCACCTGCATTGGGACAGTGCATGTGTTCTGGACCGGATCCATGCAGCACTCTACAGCAGCTGTACTCTCAGTGCCAGCATCACTGGGGTATGCCACACACATTCAATACAGCAATATCAATAATGCAAATATGACAAAAAGCTAGGTTCTACATCTATGGCATGCTGTCAGTTACCACAGCCAATTTTGACTTGGCCCTAAGTTTGCTTGTAAATGAAACAAAAATTGCATGTATAGTAACATACTTAAAGGGATAGTTCAGCCAAAAAAAAAAAAAAAAAGGAAAATTCTGAGATAATTTACTCACTCTAATGATGTTCCAAACCTATAAGACTTCGGATAATCTTCAAAACTGAACCTTTTACTGAAACCCAAGAAGTTTCTGTCCCTCCACTGAAAGAGCGTTCAACCAAAACACAGAGGATCCAACAAAAAGTAATAAAGAGTAACATTCACTTTATATGATTGACAGATTTATTTTAGACTTTTATGCACATATTAATACACATGCATACAGGGCATCACATATGGTAGACATGGAAGCTGGTGCGCCACATGCTTGAATAGACCTCTTTGGTTCTTTTGCATCACGCAACCATGTTTGAACTTCCATGTTTACCAGATGTGATGTGCATTATGTATGTGTGTGTCGATCTTTGCTGAAATCTAATTGAAAGCCTTAATTAAATCTGTTCATCACATAAAGTGATCGTATCTCTTCGCAAGACTTGGATTAAACCGGTCGATCCATTTGGATTCAGATTCATTTTAGGACGCCATTTGGATCTACTATTTTTTGGGTGACAGAAACCTTGCAGATTTCATAAAAAATATTTTAATTTATGTTTCTAAGTTTAACCAAAGTTGGATTCTTTTGAAATGACATGATAATTTTTTTAACTTCACAGAATTTTCACTTTTGGGTGAAGTAGAAATTGATACTGTTAATTTTTTTATAATTTCTTAATGCCTTTTTGCCCACATTGAGCAGTTATGCTATGCAATTTCTACGACATAGTCTACACTAGTACTGTAAGACGACATAGTACTGTAAGTGTACTATTGCAAATGGGATTTTTTTTTGTACTTGTGTTTACTAATGTGGTTTGTGTCTGTAGTAACTGATTGCATGTCACAAGTGAGACTACATGTTTTTCCTGACTGTGGCACATTGTAAAATAGAATTAAGCTATTACTTTTATTACTATTATTACTATTACTTTATTGTTTTCCAGCTCCAAAAAACAAGCAACTTGAGGCAGAATGGCAAGCCAGCGATCACAAAGAACATGGTAAGTCCTTGGTCTCTACACTGTACACCAAAGCCTTTTGGAAACTCATAACTGCCTGCATGCTGTGTTTCCCTCATTGTACACTCTCATTCCCTCAATCCAGGACACCACAACAATCAATCCTGTCTTGAAGAAATAGTGGCTTGTCTTGGGGAGAAATCCTGTAACAGCCGACTGGTACCATTTGTCCAGGAATGCAACGCCTACCAGTGCAACCCAAGTCAGTGCAGAGAGGCATTGAGGCAGTTCTACTCGGCTCTTCCTCACAATGTGGCTGAGAAACTGGTGTTCTGTGACTGTGATAGAGAAGACCAGGAATGCCAGCAGATGAAAGCCTCTCTACACTCTGGATCCTGTGCGAGTGACCGGTTGCAGACACCCTGGACCTGCCTGGAGGCACTGGACAGCTGCTCTGAAGATACATTGTGCAGGTTAGCCCTCAACATTGAAGACAAAGCATTGACAAAATGTTTTACAACAGGAAATGCTTATAAATCATCATTTCTATAAACCAGTTATAGGCCAGGGTTTTGTTGGGCTGCATTTGTGCGTAACTGGTTTGGGGGGAAAAAATCACATGGTTCCTCTTTGGAAGTTTCAGTCACTTTAGTTAGGGGACCAATTTTCACCATTAACTAGCTATTAACTACAACTTATGCCTCAATAAATTCTTAATTTGCTGCTGATTAATAGTCAGTAAGGTAGTTGTTAAGTTTAGGGTTTGAATAAAACAGAATAAGGCATTAAAGGGGTCATATGATGCTGCTAAAAAGAAAATTATTTGGTGTATTTGGTGTAATGAAATGCGTTTATGCGGTTTAAGGTTAAAAAAACACATTATTTTCCACATGCTGTACATTATTGTTTCTCCTCTATGCCCCGCCTTTCTGAAACGCGACGATTTTTACAAAGCTCATCGGTCTGACAAGCGAGGTGTGCTCTGATTGGCCAGCTATCCAGTGCGTTGTGATTGACCGAATACCTCAAGCGTGTGACGGAAATGTTATGCCCCTTACCATATTGTGATGCCCTTTCCGGCCGGAGTGTAACATAAAACCATTTCTGCATTTGTGATCGGAGAAATGACAAACAAGTGCTACTCTACACTGCCCAAAAAACTCGTTTGAATCATCAGTGGCAAATTCTTTAAATATAAAAAAACGTACTTACAGTGTGTGAGTCAGAACAGCCGGCATTGTAGTCTACTCTACCAGGATCAAGGAAAGCCACGAACAGAAAAATGATTACAGCCGGTGTAATACCCAGTGGAAGAAATAAGCCAAGAGCAAGAAACTATGGGGCTTGACACTGTATAGAGGCTCAAACAGGAACTTCACGATAATGTGCTACAATTTGAGCCAGTTCCAAACCTAGTTAGTTGCCTGCAAAGGCTGGTTCAGTCGGCGCTCTCTTTAAAATAAAGGTTCTTTTTTGGAATCTACGGTTCTGTGAAGAATCTTTAACATCCATAGAACCTTTCCAGGTTCTTTATAGTAGAAAAGGGCTCTTTTAAGAACTGGTTACTGAAACATTCTTTGGTAAAAACTGAAAGCCTTTTAAAATCTTTATTTTAAAGGGTTAGTTCACCCAAAAATGAAAATTATGTCATTAATTACTTACCCTCATGTCGTTCTAAACCCATAAGACCTTTGTTCATCTTCAGAACACAAATGAAGATATTTTTGATTAATTCTTGATTAACTCTCTGACCCTCCCATAGACAGCAAGGTAATTACCACGATCAAGGCACAGAAACGTAGCAAGGAGATCGGTAAAATAATCCATGTGACATCAGGGGTTCAACCGTAATTTTATGAAGCTAATTACGAAGCTACGAGAATACTTTTTGTACGCAAAGAAAACAAAAATAACGACTTTATTCAACAATTCGTCTCCTCCGTGTCACGATAGCGCTATTTTGGAGAGTATCCACTGACCGTAAACAGTGTATGCTATTCTGTGTCAGCTGAGACATGCGGATACGTTGTTTTCGTTCAAATCAAAGTGTAAACAACGTAGAAAACGTATCCGCGTGACGCAGCTGACACAGAATAGCATAAGCTGTTTACGTTCAGTGGATATTCTCCAAAATGGCACCAGGGTGATGCGGAGGAGACGAAGAGACGAATTGTTGAATAAAGTCGTTATTTTTGTTTTCTTTGCGTACAAAAAGTATTCTCGTAGCTTCGTAAAATTACGGTTGAACCCTTGATGTCACATGGATTACTTTACTGATCTCCTTGCTACGTTTCTGGACCTTGATCGTGGTAATTACATTGCTGTCTATGGGAGGGTCTGAGAGCTCTGAGAATTAATCAAAAATATCTTAATTTGTGTTCCAAAGATGAACTTAACTTAAGTCTTACGGGTTTAGAACGACATGAGGGTGAGTAATTAATGACAGAATTTTCATTTTTGGGTGAACTAACATATTGGGTGATATGCCTATTAATATGTTAATATGTATCTGGCTTTCACTGCTGCATTGGAACAGTAACTATTGTGATAAGCACTACACTAGTAAATTTAACTAAGTAGTCTACCAAAAAAGTAGTCAACTGGTCAGAATGTATGAATGAGAAGGTACAAATTCACACAAATCCGCCACAAATCAGCTAAATTACTAAAGCTAAATAGCCAAATTAGCAAAATACTCAAATGTTGAGAGTGTGTGAGAGTGTATAGATGTGCTGTTCCCCAGATGATGAAGCTGGTTGACCATCATGGTCTTTCCAGTTGACTGGAAAAGATTTCGTTAAGTAGTTAAGAGGCGTTGTAGCAATACTGGCACACAGGATTTATATAGACTGCTGCTGATAAAAACAACAACAACTCTTTACTATTCACAGGCAGATATTTAGCAGTTATCTCTCCAAATGTTTTGGCGAAAAGGAATCTGCGCATGAAACGACCAGTGAATGGCTAAGTCGTCTGGACCCCGACTTCTTTCTTGGGCACGACCTCCAATGCAGGGTGGCATTTGTGGAAACAATGGGTTCGATACTTCATCATCCATGCACTTGTGATGGATTACATCATCATGATCAATATAAGTGCAATGAGCTAAAACACATTTTCCAGGACAAGTCCCTCTTCAGTGAGTACTTTCAGAGGTTGCTGGCTAATTTATCTACTGGGCATTTGCAAGTACTGCTGGCGTAGTCTCATTCTGATTGATGTATTCTGATTTAACCATTCAAATCATAGCGCTCTCAGGGACCAAAGAAAATTTCCGACATGAAGAATCCCATGAATTAAACACTGGGCAACAACCAAGCAGTAAAACAAGCACTGAACAGCAGTGGTTAAGTGGTGAAAATGTCCAACATGGACAATTGGATGATTCAAGCAATGGGCAACGACCAACCAATGAATCGAGCGTTAAGCAGCAGTGGTTGAGTGGTGAGTTGATGCACTTTAAGTGCACTTTTCCTTTTTCATTACATTATTGCTGAAGTATTACTAATGTATTGTCTTTGTTTACACCAGATCAACTGTTTTACATACTGATATACATCTCTGCGTTAATGGTGGTGGTATTGTTTGTGGTCAGTCTGGTTTTGCACAGACTTTGGTAAGTTGTCATTATTGTAATGCATACCAAATTATGTAGATGTTTTGGCAAAACTTTAGTGTAGGGACCAATTCTCATGATTAACTAGTTGCTTATTAGCATGCCTATTATTAACATATTGGCTGTTTATTAGTGCTTATAAAGCACATATTCTGCATGACCACACTCTACATCCCTAATCCTACCCAATACCTAAACTTAACAACTGCCTTACTTTAACTATCAATAAGCAGCAAATTAGGAGTTTGTCAAAACTCGTAGTTAATGGTTTGTTAATAGCGTGAATTGGACCTTAAAATAAAGTGTGACTAATGTTTTAATAATGATTTAATGGCTTTTCTTGTAGGAGAATACACCAAGCTGCTGGTAAACCAACTTTTGAGACCCATCAGTCAAAGTCCCTGATGTTGTCATCTGTTATTATTTAACCTGTTAAGACGCAATGATCGCCGACGGCCTTAGATTATTATTGTTTCACTTTCAAACATTACACTCATACTTGATCTTTTGCGTATGTCATTTATGTCTCCATGCTAAAATGGGTGGTGCTTGAGAAGGGGTTAAGTGGCAGTGATATTTATGATTCTTTGCACATTGTAGGTATATCTTTCACTGTGAATTTTAAATATCCTTATAAAATATTTAATATTTTAAATATATTTAATAAATACCATTTTGCTTTCTATCAAGCCACAATTAAGGTTTAAAAGAAGGGATTGCTTTTGCTCTGACTGATGCTCTGATATATTATTTATATTGGATGAAAAACAGAAAAAGTAGTGTGGAACTTGATTTTATTCACATGGTATTGATGGGATTGTGAAAAGTGGAGATAATGATTTGTACATGGATACTGATAGTTGACCAGAACGTCCCAAAGGTTTTATTATTATTATCATTATTATTTCAAAATTGTGGTCATTTGGTATTATTGTCATAAGCTTTATTACTTGGTAGGTGTCAAAATATGAAGAATGAAATTTTCCTTGATCATGTGACATATAGGCGGCCATTGTTCTGAAGATATATAGTGAGTTTCAGACCTCAGTGCAAAAAGGGAAAATAAATAAAAACAAAATAAAAGCTTGTAATAGATGAGAAGTAATACTCTTGTGTAATGTACTAATCTGATTCTGTTTCAGGGCATAAACTAAAAATAAAGTGTTAATGAGCAACATTCAGCATTTCTGATATCAGTTCTCTCATTTATCTTTAATACGTTGTGGAAGATGAATAGCCAGCATGAGGAAAGCCTCTGATAAGAGGACATGCTCTTGTCTTATTCAGCACATCTGATATCCATCATGGTGCATCAGTCTGTCTCGTCCCCATTCCTACCGACACTCAACACCTCCATCCAGATGTTTTTAAGTCTAATGATGTGTTTCCCGAATCACAGTGTCAGGACCACACTAAATCATCATTAGGAACTTCACCACTGACATTAACGAGACATTTCACCATAGTAGTTGTCTTACCCCTCGTGGTTAAACTTTTATCACACAGGGTTTAACAGTGTTGAAACCGAACCTTTTCGTGGTTTTTCATGTTTACACCACTCATTTTTCACAAATTGAAGATTTCATATTATTATTTTATTACAACAACACACTGTATATATTTCATTAGGATATTCTTAGCTAACATGTTTAGTTTAAGCCCTATGTATACACTGCATTATTATACATTTTCTAATTAATTATATTTTTTATATCTGTAGCCATAGTTATAATACATCTTAAAAGGTAATCTTACAGTATCTATTCATGGTTATACCTTTTAAGAAAATAATGTGGTATAACATAAAATACAGAAAATGGGTGTCGTTTATGTTTTTTTTTACTCTTTATATACAGTGGGTACGGAAAGTATTCAGACCCCCTTCAATTTTTCACTCTTTGTTATATTGCAGCCATTTGCTAAAATCTGTTAAATATATACATGCATGTGTTTGTATTTTTTTACATGATAAATATACACAGTATACGCATATATTATGTAAACAAAAACTTTTATTTTGGATGCGATTAATCACGAATCTCTTAATTACTGAATTCAGGGGCCTTATTTATAAAATGCATGTACACACTGAAGTGTCATATCAGTTTCTAAGTAGGTGTTTCAATCAGACCCTTTCATCCCTGCTAGATATTCCACGGACCACAGTAAAGTGTAAACCTTCTGTTGGCTCGGAGCAAAAGGGATAGCCTTCGTTGTCCTTGTGCATCGATGAGTCTTGGCTGCCGAAACCCTGTAGCCGGTTTGTGGTTTTTCCCTCCTCAGACAACTGTTGGTAAATTCTCCCCGCTGCTGGCCGGGAAAAACCCAGAAGCCTTGCATCTTCAGACATACTTTGACCAGTTGCCTTGCCATAGCAATTTGACAATTGTCAAAGTCGCTCAGATCTTTATTCCTGCTCCAACACACTGATTACGAGAACTGATTGTTTGCTTACCATCTAATCTACCCAGACCATAATATGCGGCCTTGTTAGGAGATGATCAACAATATTCGCTTCATCTGTGACCGGTCACAGTGTTTTGACTCATCAGTGCATATTTATGCTTCAAGTAAAACTAAACAGCCCCGCAGGGGTTAATAAGTGAAGTTATTAATGTAATTTCGGGAGGAGTACGCCCATCTAATCTTATATCGGTGATATCGAGGATATCGGTGCTCGAGTAGAATAGTCTCTCTGAGCCCTCCATTGCAGACATCAAGCCAAATCTTACCACTAATGCTAAGATTATATGGGCACACAAACTCATGAATGTAGCCTTGGTTTTGATTGTAAATGCTTGAAATACACAGCCACAGAGGGGAAGAAATTGAGAGAGAAAAAGAGGACAGGTGTTAAAAGACAAAAAGACAAGGAGAACAATGGAATAGGGCAGAAAATAAATGAAATTTACACATCATTTTGCTATGTCAATGTAATACTGCATTTTCTATAATAGGCTTGGCCTTGCCTTCACTTTTTAAATCACCTGGGGATCAAGGTCATGGCAGTGTGCTGTAATAAACAGCTGCGTCCATCTGTTTTCTTTCGCTTGAGAGTGAAAAGGCCTGAATATCTATTACTTTCGCAAATACAGGTAATACAGGCAAACAGAGTGCTGCTTTAACACTCTCCCAAAACAATTAGAGCACTTGGAGAGAAGAGTAAATAAACCAGACCACGAGAGATAAAGTGAAATGTGTTTACGCACAGCACATGCCACCTGTATTTAAACTAGATCAAAAGAAATATAAAGACGCACACTGGAAGCTATCAGTGCCAAACGTAGCTTGAAGCATGAACGCTTTTAAAAAATTCACAAAATTCCAAACAGTGTTTTTATTGATCTTACTACATATAAACTGAAAACCTTTAATAACCAGAAATGATAGCTTCCAAACATGCCCAGTATATAGGCAACTATATGAAGGCAGGTTGAAAAGCAGTAACATTTATTGGTAAAGATATGTGATGTTAGTACAAAGACAAGAATAAGCGATTTAGTGCAAAGACAATAAAGTACAGCAATAAGGATCATTTTCTTAGATTTTACATCAAACATTGTTAATGCATAAATGATTTGACCCCTACAAATATATTTTAAAAAAAGTAACTTTATTTTAAGGACCAATTCTCACTATTAAGTAGCGTGCAACATATTGGCTGTTTATTAGCACTTATAAAGCAATATAAATGCCTTATTCTGCATATTTTAGATCTCTCAATTCTACCCCTTACTATTTTAATAAGCAGCAATTTAGGACTTCGTTGAGGCAAAAGTTGTAGTTAATAGTTAGTTAACAGTAAAAATTTGACCTTAAAATAAAGTGTGTCCACATATGCACAGACTATATTAATGTGACTTAAAACAGCATGCATTCAATCAGGCTACATTACTTGGTGAAAGGATTCTTTATTTCAGTTATTCATTTTAACAAATGTGTGTACTGAATACTTGCATCTTGTAGATGTATTGTTAATACTGTTGAAATGACAGTTTATGATAGGAAAGATAATAAGCACATAGTGCTCTGAACCTGCTGTGAACTCTGCCACTGCGCTCTCTGCAGTCTGGTCGTAATGATTTTAAGCAGGATATATGAATCAGTGAGGGGAAAAAAAATACTCCCACAGATAGGGCATCATCATCATCCTCATGTCAAGTCACATTTTCTATTTTTAGTTTTTTCTGTTTGACAGAAACTACAAAAGGCATGGGCTCATTTCTTTGGCGTACAATGCACATGTTTCCTGTTATAGGCACAATATAGTATATTGTAGATATTATTAATTAAATACTGCATCAGCAGCTCTTAAAATGGCAATCAAAGTAAAAGCATTTAGCAGAGGCCAAAAGTCTGAAAGCAGGTTTACAGCACATGAATGTGGTTTTAGACTTTTGGACCACATTGTATGTATTTTCACTTAGAATGAAAAGGCTGGATGTTTTTAGTAGCTTGGCTGACCTTGGAGTTAGTTGTTCGATTTAAGGCTTGGCAGATGAATTCTCCCGCTTCCATCACTTTCAACAGGTCCACCCCCTGCATCACAAACACAAACACAAACACAAACACCACCAACAGTTACCAGTCACAACAGACACCAGGGGGCACAGTAGCAAAAGAAACTGGAAGCCTGAGATGTTATCTGTGTGAGGATTAAGAAGAGGAGGCAGTTAAAGGGTGTGGATTAAAAAAAAAACAAGTGTGAGAAACTGTAGAACATAATTACTGCAAACGTGCTGCCACCAGAATATCAGGTATATCAGGACTGGTATGCACATTTTTACCCAAATAATACCCTCCAGACACCCTCTCACACACCCATGTAAATGTTGTGTACTTTATACACTATGACAAAAACAGTTTTCCACATTTTATTCAACAACAGGAAAAACTGAGTAATGGAAAAACTTGGAGTGTAGTCAAAGTGCGTGTATAAACGTATACAGTGGCCTCAGAAAGTATTTGGATGCAAAAGTCAAACATAAAAATGTGTGCATGTCTTAGCATGATGTAACAAAATAACTGAGAAAGTGGCATTTAATTTAAACAGAATTGTTGTCCAAAATGTTTCACAAAGAGATGGCCAGAATTGAAATGATACAGTAGACGTACTGCCCAAAAATGAAGACAGAAAGTATTAAGATGCATTCAAATTGTAGAAATGTTATTAGCATGCTGAATTCCCATGTGAGGGGATCTGCACTCTAAAACAGATCTGTGAAAATAGGGAACAATGTACTGTATTAATACAAAAGATTTTTTCGCATTTATTTTTTAAAGGTGTTTTATCTGTAGTTTCGTTTTTGCACTGTGTTGTGTTTTAGAATTAATGGAAACGAATGGAAAAATTACCAGTAAATTTTTTAACAGTGTGACTCAAAAAAAATAAAAAAATAAAATATCCACAAAAAAATTACCACTGCAAAAAAAATATAGAAGTTCTGAGAACACTTTGTGCAGTATTTAACTGCAGATGCCATTTGCTTTGATTTTCTGCATCTAATGGCATTCAGACATTTTTCGAGTAACTTAAGTGCCCAAAAGTGTCATT